CATTGTATAAGCCGAAAGTCATGACCGGAAACTCAAATAGTCCAAAAGGGGTAATAACCACAGTTTTTGGAATATCAGCTGGGTTAACGGGCACTTGGTGATACGCCCGCTCAAGATCAACTTTTGTAAAAATAGCTTTTTTCTCTAAAACTTGCATACAGTCTTGAATGTGCAGGACTGGGTAATGATCGGTAATTGTAACTGCATTTAATTGGTGATAATCACCACTTAGCATTTCATTTCCGAACTAGATGGAGCGGACTGATCCATGAACATTTTTAAGGACGGCAAATTCCCTGTCCCACTATGCATTGAAATTCCTCTTTGGCGGCTTTAAGCTTGTCCGGAAGTAAGCATCATGGTTTAGTGGCAATTGGAGGTCCGGTAATTTCAATATAATGTAGTACATCGTGCTTGGGTTCGGAAATACCCATTAACTGGGCGCGTGATTGTGGGGAATTCTCTGAGAAGTTAATGCCATGGGAAGTTACCTGAAATCAATTTAATGCTCAAATCTTGACTATTGCGAATTACTCCCGGATAAGATAAGTTGGTTGTGAAATCTATCAAACGACGATTCTTAAGATTTGACAAGCAAAGAAAATTTTTGTAAAAAGTCAGAGCCAATAATAGGACTTGAACAGTAGCAATAATGAATGGGCATTGGAAGTTGTGGCGAAAATCAACACATATCAGACGTTCACCAAAATCAACAGATATCAGGCGTTCACCAAAAGTTTGAATAGGAGTTCCATTTGCTACATAAAGCTGTAACTTGGTAAGGCGCTTTTGTTCGTGAAAATGTGATGGAATGACAGAAACATCAGCCCCAGTGTCTACAAGAAACGTTAAGCCCGAATTCTTTTCGATGACGAAAAGGCGTGCAAAATTCCGGCCGCTGTTGTTCATGACTTCGAGCAACGGCCCTTCTTGTTTCCCTGGTCGTTATAAAGATACGGTGGGCAGCATTTGTTTGCCTTGTTTCCAAGTTTGTGGTGGTAAACACAAATACCCGGAGGAGGGCTGGGTCCCCTTTAAGATCATAAGATCACTTTGTGATCAGGTGGGTGGGGAGCACTCCAGCAATTTCAACCCAGAGGAGGGCTTTCATAACATTTCCTCAGTGGGCTACGATGTGTATTTCGACCACGTGATGTGGAGCATTTGCGCTGAAAAGGTTCAGCTTGGATGGTTACTAACTGAGCAACCTCTTTGGACAAATCATTAATTTGAGCCTGTAACGCCACAATACCTGGACCAGGAGCCTGCACTGCGTGTATTTGCGCTGTAATGGCCAGCTCGTGAATTTTATCAGCAATTTTGGGAAGATTTTTTAAGTGGTTCGCTACTGGCCGCTAAAATGGTTTGCATGTTAGATGGGAGTATATTCATCCACAATATTTTAAGAATGTTATCCGTTAGGTAACCGGCGGCTAAGTTTGACATTTTAGACAGCAATTGAAAATTCCTCATATCACCCAACGGTAAATCGTGCAACAGCTGCTTGATTTTAACTACATATCACCCAACGGTTAGGTTACCGGCGGCTAAGTCTGACATTTTAGACAGCAATTGAAAAGGCCTCATATCACCCAACAGTAAATCGTGCAACAGCTGCTTGATTTTAACTATCTTGGATTCTTCATAAACAGAAATTAATCTGTTTTTAAAGATTTGTATTTGTCCGTCGCCAGTGGATTCAAAATTATTTCACGAGCTGATTGCAGTACCTCTGATTCAAACGCGGCAATCGCTGTATAAAATTGAGTAATGTAACTTAATTTAAACTGCGCATCCAATTCAATGAACCATAACAATGGGTCTCGGCGACAAAAAGGTGGTGGCTTAACTGCCACTCGCGCCAATTGTGAAGCAGCATCGTTGTCAACCACTTTAGATCAATCAAATATGCACAATAATAATATGTATAGAATATGCTCAATAATAATATGTATAGAAAAATAATATGTATATAGTGACACATTTTTTTGGTACTTGAAATCAGAAAAATTGGCGGCTCAAATGCAGCAAACGATACATATGTCCGCTGAAATTATGACAGAAATATGTTGACTCACCGGAATGCGGCACAACGCTTGAAATGGCAGGTGAAATGTCTTACTTGCATCTCATCACACTGGATTTTGACACATAAATCAGACACATAAATTTTGACACATAAATTCCATATTTTGTACAACATTGAAGGTTGCTATTCGTAATAAATACGGGCCACCAATTATGGTAGTACAATTTTTTTGAGACAGATCGTTAAATAATTATAACAATTGAATAGAATAAATATTATTTTGTTTTTGGTTGCTATGGGTTACCAGACTGGCAGAGTTGAGTTGTAGTAGGCAAGTTCCCACATATCTGTATATTAAACCTTTGATTGTTTAAAAACTGTACTTTTTAAAAACACTTATATAAATATGCAAAATAAATAACACCTTTTTAATTAATTCTAGATCATCGTAAGTCTGATTTTTCCGCCGACACAGATGCATTTCCGAATCCAAAGCTAGTGTAGTTAGGTAGTGACTATTCTTAATATATTTTTGAGTATTTTATAATTCAGCATTTTATTATTATTTGCATTATTTTCTTATTACGCATATATTCTATACACTGTATTACTGAAAGTTTTTTTTGTGGGGGGGGCAGAAAGGTATTTTGCCCCGGGCGCCAGTTATGCTTGCTATGCCACTGGTTACAACTAGAAAATTTTGTTCTAAAAAGTGTTCAATTTTATGATTAAAATAGTTTTTTTAAACTTGCACGTAGATTATGTACTAAAAAATAAGCGAAGCAATTGAAGTTAAATATATTCACTTGTCATCGTGTCGAAAACTAAGTGAGTTAGAATATTTAAACATTTCCTGCAAACAATATATACATTTTCATTTTTAATACTATTATTATTCTGATGTTGAAGAGCAAATTAAAGAGAGTTTATTTACTACAACGAAACTAAAAACTTTACTAAAAAACATTTTCTGATTCCAAAATGAGTGTTATTACCTCTAATATTCATTTCTGGAGAAATAGAAACTAGTCACTGCATTTGTACTGCACTAAAAATTTATGATGCATGATCCAAGAAATTTTTTATTTATTTTTCTTCCATGTGGCGTTGCAAATAGCGGTCCCAGAGTTGATCTGCCCTTTACATCAGGCATATAAGATGTTTAATTTTTTTTAACCGCTTCACAGTTTTCGGTTCAGCAAAGAAATGCAGATGAAAACCCTGGAGCTTTGGAAATTAAAATCCTTATTGAGTTTTAACGTATTCAGCAACAAAAATTTAGTTTTTTCATTTAGCGATATAAGATATTACTTTGTATGATAGTTGTTCGATGATTTATATTGTTACACAATTTTTTCTTTAATTGCATATACAGGAATGCATTGATATTTTAGAAAGTAAACATCTTTCTCAACTAGCGAAGTATTTATTCAGTTTTTTTATGATCTACATTTTCAGAATGCTAAAATCACCTTTGAGGTATCAAACTGTTATGTGAAATTTTCATATCTCAAGCTATTTACAGTTTCTTTCTTTGGGAGAAATGAAGCTGGGAATGAAGATTCGTACTGAGTGGATGAATATTAATGAAGATTCGCGCTGAGAATTAAATTCAGAGAACTAAAAAGTGGTACACGTCTGAATTCCTGTATACATGCTTAGCATTCCAATATCTTATTTCATTCCCTCCAAAACACAATTCTCACGAAAAATTAATTACTTTCTGAACACTACTATAGCAAGTGAGTGGTTAAGGCCGCTGAATGCTGTTACTTCGACGTCAGGCAATCGAGCTCGCCGCATGGTCAGTTTTCAAAGTTTCTCCCATGTGAAACGTGAATACGAGCCAATTTCCTCTAAAAGATCTCCACGAAGGCATCTTTTTCTTTAGGTAGGCAGCCTTTGTATGCTTTCCCATATTCAATTAACCTAAACAGTGTCTAACTTCTGAACGAACTGAATGACATTATAGATGCAAACATATAACAACGGATAAATTAATAAAACTTTTTTTTATTTTGAATTAAAAAATGTTCCATAATAATTGGTTTAGTAAAAATTTGTATTTCATTTGTTGCACAATTAAAATTCATTCAGTCATCAAAATTATTCATTAAAAGGAAGGGTTTGTAAACATAGTTATGAAACGCTCATAAGTTTAGCTTTCTTATTTAGAATATAATTTTATTTTTATTTGTCGGATTAAAGAAAGTGTTATTTACCTGAGCGAAAGGGGCTATCGTGGAATGCCTTCAAAGGAAATTGGCTGATATACCCTTTATATATGTGGGAGAACAAGAAAAGTTCATGCAGTTAATCCATTCATCGGAATATGAATTCAGGTTGAATTATCAGAGTTAAATAAATACTATCCACCCAGCCGCTAGTTATGTGGAATATAAACAAATAAAAAAAAAAAATTCCACTCAAGCAGTAGTCGTGAAATGTATGTCATTTAGAAATAACATTAAAATTAATTTTCATCACCTGAAACATTTATATTTATTACACTGCCTTAAAATGCACATTAAAAACTGGAATTAAAGTGATAAAAACACTTATGAAAAGAATGAAACGAAGACAATTTCAAATTCGAATTGAAACCAAATTAAAAAGAATTTAATCAGAAATAACTGAATAAATTATGCATTTTTTCCTAGAAGATACCAAATTTGCCAACAAGACATGTGAATTCAAAACACAGACAATTTTGCCCAATCCATTAGCAGAATCCCATAAAAGAACCCACTCTATGGGGTGTCATAAAATAGTCATCAAGCCTCAAGTGTTAGAATTCCTACCCCTGCCACCAACGACAAACTGTCCCAAGCCCTCAGTTGCTGTATACTTAGTTCGGGACACATATGTCCCAGCCCCCGAGAAAAGGTTGAGAATCAATATAATTTTCTATAAAATTCATAGAAATTAAAAATTGAGAGCTATATAAAGAGGAACGTATATAAAGACGAACCTTTCAGCATTCATCACAGCTTCCTGATAATGGATTATTATCTCCGCCTGGAGTCTGGGAACTCGTGGAGTGTGCTTCAGGCGTGGATTCGCTTCTTCTAAAAGAAGCGAGACTAGCGGCTTCAGTTGTTGCCCCGCAGTAACTAACTGCTCTTGAAGATACGGACATAAGGCGGCGATATTCGCAATAATCTCTGGCGCTGCAGAGTGGAGTTTCTATCTCATAAGTATTGTTGAATTTCCTGCAAGACATAGTAAAAAAAAGTATTAGTGCAGTTGCACGCAAATAATGGGGGAATCGATTGTCTTTAGTAGTAGTCTGATTTCTCTCTCACCGCGGTCTCTCCACAATCGCCTGGCGATACTGCACACAGCTTATGGCATAAGAAGTTTCAGTAATGAGAACGGCAGGAATAAACCAACTAGCTAAATAAAAAATTTTAAATCAGTGAGATATATCCCTGCCACCCTCCCTGCGATAGCAAGAGACTATTTTAGGATGAAAAGATGTTACTGGGAATATCAGTTTTACATTAAATTACGGTGCTGGGATAAAAGACGTTAAAATTTCCGTATCTTTATTACACTTAGAGTTTGAAATTCAAATATCAAGTTTGAAATATTTCTTACCTATAATCAACAAGAAACTCTCCCGTTTCCTTCTGATATGACACCATTTGTTCGAAACGATGTCCCCATAATATTTCTGTTGGCACAAAAGAAGTACGAGCTTGAATAGACTGCCCAGTGGATTCAATAGTACCTTCCAAGGCTACAACAAGCTCGTAATTGTCACTCAGAATATCTTGCGCAGACATGTTGTAAAAGGGGCTGGATTCGTCTATTTCATGCACGATGGTTGCTGGCCAGATAAGAAATACTCGATCTCCAGCATCGTCTGATCGAACCTAGAATAAAAGAATTTTCTTACATATTGCTAACTATCTCAGTCATTGTAGTGAAATATAAGAATTCGATTTGGATCATGAATTCTCACTAACCACAATTTTAATTCAAATTCAAGTATTTCAACCTGTTATTCAAGTGCAGTCTTTGTTGAGAATTAAGAAAAGTACATATGAATAAGAAACTGAATATGCCTCATCGGTATACATGGATATAAATGATTAAACACTTCCCATATAAAAACATATAAATGCTTAAACATTTCGCAAATAAAGAGCCATAAATGATTAAACACTTCCCAAATAAATAGGGGATGGTAAATGTGTACCAGAAGTTTATTAACTTTAAAACTAGGCAAATTCATCATTTAGTTTGGTTTTAGATAAATTCTGCAACATTTCTCTATACTTAATATCAATCCAAGATTACTTAATTTAAAACAAAGCTTATGGCCCTTCTGTAGAATGAAAGCTTCATGAAAAATTACATCAGGAGTAAACAAGTTACAAAAAAAAAAAAAAAAAAAAAAAAAGCAAAACCATAATAAGTTTTTGCTATTGTTTCAGTCTTTTAAGAGCCAACAGTACAGAAATAATCTTATTGATCTGTGTCGAAAAGAAATAACTAATCAGAATCAAGACCGAAAGTGAGCCATCCGGTCTGGATTTTAGAGAATTCATTTACGTTTCTCAACCTTTCAGCGTTTCTATCCAGTTTTCAATTATCATTTTCAGCATGTCGTCCCTCTTATACAATAACAATAAATACAATAATGTATTTTGATGGTAAAGCTACATTACGACCTTAATTACAGACCTTACAAATTAACAGGAATAAATAAATTTATTAATACAGTGGAACACAGTTTACACGTCTTTCACGGGATCATTCACAAACGATGCATAAATGAGAAAGACATGATAAACGAAATTTTAATTTATGATGTCAAACATACACTGGTAGACAAGTGCTAAAGACGAATCACAAACGGCTATGTAGGACGTAAAAAAGTAAGTGTGATTGGATGCCAAGTGAAAGAAAATAATGCCAGAATACTACGACATAACAATAAAGATAATTTATTGCGCTCTGCAATCCAGAAGCCTTTGAAAAGTGTTCAAGGGTCAAAATGGTATTTTGTGCTGAATACATAAAATTTGGGGGAGGGGGAATGCAATTACCGTCCGTAGCCATTCTAGCGTAAGATATTAATTCGAGATACTGTCACCATGGAGGGAGTTGCAAAATTCCACAGGTCATGTCATGCTTTGCCCCATTCCTCTGTCAGTGCACTGATGAGGGTATCCCTGTTTATTGGAAAGCATTGCCGACCAGAAAAACTCCTTCCCAAAGCATCCCAAACATTTTCAATGGGATTAAAATCTGGGGATTGTGCTGGCCATACGAGGCGTAGAATATCCTCGCTTTCTAGACACTCCTGGACAGTGACTGTTCGAATGTTATGTTGCGTTACCGTCCATCATATAAATTTAACACCTAAACACCACGGAAAATGCGAACATGAGGCGGCAGAACATCATTATGTATCGTTGACCAGTCATAGTCCCAGATGGAAGCGCATAAGCGACGTACGGCCGTTAACTCTCACGCCCCATCAGTTGTCCACTATCAGACGAGCGACTGAACCTACTTTCATCTGAGAATAGTCAACGAGCCCAATCGTCTACCCACCAATTGCAATGCTGACGGCACCATTACAAACGGGCGGAACGTGACGTATAGACAATGGAACGCGTACAATTGGATGGCGGGGGTATAGTCCTCCTTGATGCAAACGTTTGGCTACAGGTTTTCTGGAGATTCGCTCGTCAGTAGCAGCAAGTAACTGATTTGCTACTTCAGTAACTGTGCTGCGTCGGTTCCTTTTTGTTGATAGCACTATATACTTATTTTCTGCGGGCGTCGTACTGCGAACACCACCTCTCCCGTGACGTTTGCTACACATTCCGTTTGTTTGAAATGATTTCCAAAGCCTTGAAACAACATTGTGGCTAACGTCGAACTCCCTAACAACATCCGTTATTATCTTGCGAATAATATGGCCCGCGTTAAATCACCCAAGTGATGTCGGAAAGGCACACCGAAAATAGCAAGTTCCTCAATAGATTCTTTCGCGTTAAATTTTGTTTTTGAACAACAATGGTCAATACGCATCAAATCTTTTATATCTCTTACCAGCGCTATCCCATGACGAACAGCTTCCGCAATCCAAAATATGCATACGCACAACACGTCTTACTGCATCCCACACTCAGAGCCGATCCTAGTGGGGGGGGGGCACAAGATGGTGCACAGCACAAGAATCTAAATTTAAGGAGCACGAAATAATTACCAAACATATTATATTTCTAAGTGCCTCCGGAGAAGAATTATGTTGTATATAACAAACAGTTATTACCAGTGCCTATGTTATATAATCAAGAGTAATGTTCAATGTAATTATGTAGGTAATGTACACAGTGCATTAAGTGTAGAAATGAGTTTTGTAAGGAGTCTTAATGTAGCCAGTAGAATGTTTAATTACAAAGATATTCAGATATTCATGGTTGTCCCGGCGGGGAACAACCCTACTGGTGGACTCAGAGATTTCGGCGAGCCTTTAGACTGCTTGAGGTTTCAAATGGACTCCTTGAGCCTCAAAACTGCATATTCATATCCTTCCTAGGTTCCTCCCCTAAGGGGGGGGGCGCCTGAAACCGACGTGTGTTTACCAAGGCACATTTAGCAGGCTAGATTGGTGGCTCGGTCTGTCTGACAATGTTTAAGTGATTTCGTTCTGTTGTCCGGGGTTGGAGCCCCTGTTCATAGCAGATGTTTCTATATTCCCAATAAGAAGGAACGTGGAATGTGAGTTGCTGAGTATGCCCGTCGACTCGGTTTAGGCTTAGCTCGCCTACACTACTGATAGGTTTACTGCTCCTTGGATCGCCTTTAGGGGGTTGCGGCGTTTAACTGTGTTAAAGAAGCCTCGAACTATCCAGGTCTGGGCGCTCCCTCCTCCTAGCGCGCTGTAAAAATGGGCGGCAGTTTTAATTTGCACGTGGCCGCCCGACGGTCTAGGATCGGTACTGCCCGCACTCATTCTAATTTCTACGTTTTCCTGCCTTCCATTTTGTGGCTGCTATCGCTACTACTGTCATCCATCCATGGCAAATGTCCGCCAGTGTATATATATATATATATTACGGACACAACTGTAATACTATTAAGTGATATTATTATACATTTTATAGCCCTTTCGATTTGTTTAAAATATTAGCTATATTTAAATAAATTTTATATTAATATATATATATATTTAATTAATATATTAAATATATATTAATTATTAATAATTGTAATTGTTTAAAATAGTAGTAACAAATTTTTGCAATTAATATTTAATAACTATTCATATAAATTTTAAATTTTTATATCGTAATAACGTAAATTTCTGTATGTTACGTAAAACTGAAAAAAAGTCATAACTTTTATTTGAATTATCACCTTAAATTAGCGAATTTTTTTCCCAAGAACATTTTAAAGCAAATTTTAAACTTTTTTTAAAGACAACGTCTTTAATTGTCTTCTGACGTATTTTTTTATACTGAATCTTAGGCAAACCGCTATGAATTGAATTCAATTTTTGAAATAAATTTTCGCTTGTATTTATTACACGCAAAAAAAATTTTGAGGGTGTCAATGCAGTAATAGCGTTTTTAAAAGATTGTGGGATATTTCTTCATTTTCTTCTTCATCTCCACAACTTAAATGTTCATCTGGTAAAATGTTTTCAAGCACTTTTTTAATTGTGCATCAAGTCTGACGTCATTACATTGGCATCCCAGTCTTCTTCATCCATAATTACAGTTTCACCATCAACACTTTCACTTGACTGTTCGAAATTCCTACTTTAAAGAAGCAATATTTAATTGTTAATTGAATTACTTAAATACAGGCAAGTGATATAATTTTCATAGCTTTAAGAATATTTACTTATTTCTGTCAATTTTCCGTAGTTACATTTTGAAGGGCTATTTGAATTAATCTTTGTCTGTAGAACATTTTCAAACTCTTAATGAAATTTAAGGTTCATAATCTAACTCTTAAACTACTACACTAGTGCAACTTTCACATTTTGCAAGAAATCTATCGTTTGAATATGATCGTTGCCATTTGCTTTAATGACATTTTACAGCAGTTCATTCTGCTTCACTTAGTTTACTTAACACACAGCGTCCTGTTCAGAAGAAGAAAAAACGGCATCTATATTTTTTCCTTTCAAATACTCGGTCTATTCATGAACTGGTTTTCAGCTCATGTACCACATCGTGTCTCATGTCTTTGTTTTCTTCTGCTATCCCCATTTCTCGAAAAACACAGAAACGGTGGGACTGTGAAATGTTAACCAATGCAGCAAGTCAAGTAAAAGTGACATATAGCCGAAGCTATAGCGTTCGTCTAAATTACAGTCATCCTGTGACAGTCCTTACACTATCCTAAACAGGCTGAACGATGTTCGGATCTGTATGTCATCGTATTCTAAGCCTAAAATCGTAGAAATGGCAGGCTAGTCCCTTACCGTATTGCCATAGTACGTAGTCCCCATAGTGTACATAACGTAAATATTTGTATGCTATGGTCATTATGGTCCTATGTGTATATGAATTTGTTAGTTCATGCATTTAATTATTGATTAGTATTTCACGAAGCAGGTCGGTTCGACGCCAACGGTTCCATGCAAACGTTTCGACGCCATAATTTTTTTCGTATTTTTATTTATTTTTAGAATAAATATGAAGTAATATAAATAAGTAATATAACTGATTTTTATTTATTGAACGATTGTCTGCATACATGTCTGCATGAATTACGATTGTCTGCATGCATATTTGGTGTGGTGTGGTGTGGTGTATTTAATTATGGCAAAGCACACTAGGGCTATCTGCCTAAGGGGAGGGATGCCTTCGTGGAGGACTTTCTAAGGGAAACTGGCTTGTATACACGTTACACATGGGGAAAACCACGAAAACACCCATGCAGCCAGCCCGTTCGCGGGATTCGAACCTCGGACCGAACTACCAGCGTTCAGCGACTTTACCGCTCGGCGGCTGGTGGGCCCTGCATGCATATTTGAAATAAATATATGTGTGAAAGTGTTCAAGATTTTGGTTTGCGTCACAGATTAGTGAGAAGCCCCCTCGCCAACGTCAAGGCCCCGGGACATGAGAGAGGGTTTTTTTTTTTTATTTATTTATTTCACAAAACAGCGTCAAAAAGGCAAAATACACAAATGGTAAATAAACATATGGTTACAAAGTAGTTATATTATATTGCATACAAATATAATTACAGATAAATAAGATTAGAGATAAATAAGATTACATCACAGAACTGTTATTATACTAATCCATTGCAAAGTTATGCGCCACACCTTTTAGGTATTCCATTATTTCTCGATTTTCAAAATCTTCAACTATCACCTTAATTCTCATATCAGCTCGCAGATACCTATTCCGTTTGTGCGGCGGTTCATCTCCACGTACAAATTGTTCATAACATTGATCAATTGATTTTTGAACACGCCTGAGACCATCTATGAATTCCCATGATGTGGGGTGTGAAATACCAAATGATGATGACACCAAATTTATTTGAATGATGATTTAAACTTTTTCTAAAAATAATTAAAAATACGAAAAGTATGGCGTCAAACAAAAGCAAAAAAGTATGGCATCGAACTGACGCCGCGTCGAAACGACCTCGTGCCCAATTGACCACGCGTCGGAACGCTGGCGTCGAACCGTTGGCGACGAACTGAACGTTGGCGTACCGAGTATTTCATTCGTTATATATTACTTATTGAAATTATTGTTTTAATATTGCATTGATTTTCCTTAGTTATATGTATGGATTCCTGTCCAGCGATTGTACTGCCTGGAACGTGCTGTGCAATGTTACAACTTTGTAACATGAAATTTAGAGTGAGGCTTTGCGAGAAAAATAAGGTTACAAAGGCAAGTCTAAAGTCTACTTAACATGGAGGAAAATGGCTATCTCGCTAAATTGGCGAGATATTCCCAAGTTGGCGATGTTATTGGCGATCGCCCAAAGCCGCCAACTTGGCGATCAATGGCGACACTTGTATAATCCTTGTATAATCACAACTGTTACTGTAGTTGAATAACTGTACTTGATCTCTGTACTTAACTATAATTGTATCTGGCTTTTATATATAACTTCAACCGTATATACTTTCCAATAATTTCGAGAAATCGAAGGTACTGATGATTTCTTATCGCCCGGGGTAAAACTATATAAGACCGCAGAGAACATAAGTTCTCAGTTCAAGAGTTTGTAGTTCAGAGTCAACTTCGGATCAGAAGTATTGTTTTATTATACACTTTGTGATTTCCTACACGGTTGAATTTAATCAATCTGTGTATAAAATGTAAATTAAATTGAAAATTATATAATCACCACTTTCGCAATAAAAGAAATTTTCAATAATTAACGTTTATAACATTATATTTACAGCGCTGGTTTCTGCAAAATATTGCTTACCCTGATATGGTGACGTTTCACACCTTTTAAAATGGTAGGTGGTAGGAGCAGTTAATTTTACGATTTCTGAGAATAGTAGAACCAACTTCCATATTTAGCTATAAAAGAAACCTATCATCAGTTTCATCCTAGTAACTAGATAAAATTTAGTTATACATCACTTCCACATCTCTAGCTTTTGGCAATCTTTTGCAAGTTACCATTTGACTCGGAAATTTAATGCACACTCTGCACATAAACTTGTCAGTATACGTTTCCCATGTCAGCAGTCAAATGACGTAATTATCAAGTTCACGTACATTTTTACTTTTTTTTTTTTTTTTTTCAAATTACTCGTCTTCTCCATTAATCATTATGATAAAGACACATTATTCCCTTCCCCGTGCACTTCCCTCTGATTGTTAGTAGTACTATATCTAAAATCGTGGTTGAATATTAAACCTTTACTTCATGTTTGTACAGGATAACGATCTGTAGTCACAAATAATAGATTTCTCTCATTTGAAAAATATGTAGTTCTGCGATTTTCATCATAAGAAACTAAAAATTTTACATTTCTTTACTGAATGAATAAAGATGGCTACGATACTATAATAAACTCAAAAAAAATTATTAAATTTTAAAGTTTAATAAACAGTAGCCATATTAGGATAATTTCACATCGAAATGCTTACCTCCAACTGTGTGTGATAATACGGTATAACTTCTCCTTCCAGTGTTACTTTTCTTCTAATAACTTGCGCACTTATTTGAGCACCGATGATATGCGATTTGCGCATGTCACCTACACGCCACATCAGGCATAATTTTCCATCTCTAAGGCACACAACGGCGTAACGGCTGAACATTAGCGTTTGACTTCGTTTTTTCGGACGTGCTATTTTGGCAAACACCATACCCGCAACAAGGCACTGGATCATCACACCCGTTACAGATTGGATGCACATCATAAAAACACCTTCAGGACACTCTTCTGTTGTGTAACGGTAACCATACCTAATTTTGAATGAAAGAAAACAGCTATTACAGTATAATAACAATAATAGTCAAGTTCGCTAGGACACTGCGCTCCAAAAGTTAAGAAACAAGCAGTTTATCATTAATATCACTCAAAAAAGAAATGATTAAGATCACAGATGCAGATTATTGTACGGCTAAATTAGGAAAAGCATCTATACAGAGGGTAATCATTAAAAAAAAAAAATAATAAATAAATAAATAAAAACTAGGCGCTTATTTTTACAGCAGTGGTGCTCCAGTAATGTTCATATATGTAAATATTCTGATTTTGAAAATGTCTTAGTTGAACCTTAGCATCTGAAATATTAGTTATGCCCGATGCCTTGGGAAAATTGTTTATCTGATTCCTTAAGATAGCAAGTAATTAGCCAGATGGAAATGGTCTAGTGATAAGTTGAATCGAAATTAAGTATTAGTCATTGTGCTCTAATAGGATATGTACAGATAATTAGAGAGCTTACAATTTGAAAAACAGCAACTTTACACAGTCTACCATCTAAAAAAACTTATGGTAATCATATACGGAATCAAAGGGCTAAGAAGAGAGCCAATGCATCTTATAGCTTGTCACAGTTGAAGTAGATATACATCTTTTCTTAGCAACATAAAACGGATATCTGTTTCTATTGTGAATAAAAGACGGCTTCGCGCACATTGATATTTGCTAGAACAGTGTTTCTCAACTGGATTTACTCCAAGGACCGGTAAAATATTTCGGTACGTTCTCGCGGACCGGTAAGTTTAATAATTGGCACAATTTTTCCACCACCCCTTGGCACAATTTTTTCACATAAATAAGCCAAAAATAATTTTTAAAGCATTTTATTTGTTATAATTTACATATGTACATTCAACTTACTTAAAATATTGCATCGAGAATAAAACTACCGAAACTTAACTAAAACTCCAAGAAAATTCCATTTTCGCGGATATTTCGCGAACCGGCAAATATTTCTTGTGGGCCGGCGGTTGAGAAACACTGTGCTAGAATACATCTTGTATGTTGCATGGACTTGCTTATCCAAGGCAGTTCGACTTTTTTGGCGAAAGAACATATCACATGAAACAGATAATAATCAACTGATATAAAATTCATAGATGAATCTGGATAGTGTCTATATTAGAGTCAATCATGTCGTACCTACTGGAATTCACATTCTTCAGAGCTCCGTTATATCAAAGGCAGATTCCTAATTTGAGAAACGGTTTGTATGCCAACAGTTACATTTATTTTCTGGCAGATTCTGAATGCTCTGAAGCATCGAGGCGAATTTTCTTGGATAATTATCTGTCACTTAATTTCACATATCTTATTATGCTCCATTACTGTAAACTCTGCTCATCAAATTACTGGATTTTAAATTGCTATCCTGCGATATGATTGAGCCCACCAATGGCCTAGTTAATAAGACAGTACGACAGCTGAATATCGGTAGTTTGAGCTGGATTTGAATTCAACGAACGAGCTGGCTGCACGAGTATTTTCGTGGCTTTCCTCAAGCATAACGTGTATACGAACTAGTTTTCCTTGAAATTCCTTCATTAAGGCATCTCTTCTTTGTCAGACAGTCATCGCAAAGAAATCTGCCCATCAAATGATCGAGCACTGTGACAATCATTATAGAAAACAGGAAAATGTAATGAAATTTCTGATTCTTGGATTGTGGATTGTGAAAATGCATATAATTAATAGATATGTCATTGTACTAATGCAACTACATTCGCAAAAATGAGTTTTAACATAGTTAAACAAAATTTCAGAAAAATTAAGCAAAAAACTTTTTAAAACTAAAATGTGTAAATAGACTTGCTCAGAAATCGAAAATAGTTTATCTTTAAACTGTTTTTTTTTTATCTCTGGGCTTAATTCCTACGGTATTTCACAAAAATGAACAAAGATGGATTCATGGTACTTTTTCTTTCGCATTAGTTAGTTTACTGTTTACAAAATTTCATTTTATTTAACGATAAACAAACTTTGGTACCTTTTCGGAAAATTACGAAGTTATCTAAACAGAAAATGGCCTTTATCTTTTGTATTTATTTTAAAACTTTTATCGGCAGGGGATTACGAAAATAATTACCGATAAAAATAGAAACTGATTATGCTATTTGCAAGATATTAGTCTTCATGTTACTGGAATAAAAAATATTCTAAATTCTGTAGGATTTTCATTTCATGTTATTTATTACACGTTTTACAGAACTTACTTTCCACAAGAAAAAGTGGATATGATAATTGACAGGCGATTATACTAAATAATATTTCAAAAACGTTTTATAAAGAAATAAAGAAGGATTAAATTCTGTTCCACATCATATCCATACTTCTTTCTGACAACACAGCTCACACAAAACGTAAATAGCACATCTAAAAAAATTAACGTTTTATGTAAATACGGTGTAATAAAGCATTTAGTTTGAGCAATTATTTCTACCACTAAAGAACAAGAAATTAACTGTTATGATTTTGAAAACTTGCACACTTTTTTTTCCTTGCATGGAATTTACAATAGTCTAGTGCAACTTCAAAATTTATTTCCAGAAATGCTTTCAATTTTTACTATAGATAAATGGAAAATATACCTCAATTGCACACTGTTTAACAACTGTATTAAATTTAATAACACCATTTTAAACCATAAATGGCATTCCCACGGGTACGAACCTCTCGAAACAATTTTCCGACCACCACTTATTTTTTAAAAAAATTTCAGTTTCAACAAACTCTTGACCAAACAAGTTTAAAACTTTTTGCAATCTCTACAGGTACATTGACGTATAATTACGTTTAATAATTATGATTCCATTGAAAAATTTTCAAACTTTATGACCAAAGACGATATTTTAATTTTAATACAATTTAAGTTTTTAACTTAACTTTTTTAATATATCTAAAAGAGTAATAGGAAACACAATGCTCAACAGAATTTAAAAATTCGATAACACTTCTCTTTCTTTAATTGCTTATACATATATTATTTTATTGTAATAAAGAATCATTGAAAAATACCGATTTTCTTAAATATAGTGCAATAACACAAGACCTGCATTCCCAAGAAGATTTCAAGTATTCAAATCTATTGAAAAACCTTTATCATTAATTAGTCAACCTTTCAATTTTGACGTGCAAGAAGCTCCTGTTGAAATTCAGCTAGAAGTAATTGATTTACAATCAAATAATTTACTAAAAGAAAATTTTCATTCAAACGAGTTGAGTGTTTTCTACGGTGCTTTGAATACAGAACATTTCAAACATTTTTTGAACTATGTTCAAAAATACCTAATTTTATTTGATTCAACATACGAACTTTTGTGAAAAGAACTTTTTCGTTAATGATTTACACGAAAAATAAATATCGATCACAAATTACTGACGAAAATCTACACTCGGTATTAAGGAATGCTACAAATAATTTGGATCCAAATTTTGAAGAAATAATATCAAATGAACATTCCAGATTTCACGTTTCGCATTAACTAAAGCTATTCTATTTTAGCGTTTGATGTTTGTCTTTTCTTTTTACTACGATATTTACAAAATGTAATATAAATATAAAAATGTAATATCTATGATCAAAATAAAATAATTTGTATCGTTAAGATATAAATAAATAAATATAAAAAAAAATCTTTCATTAACTGATTTATTTAATGACCATTAATTTAATATAATGGATCACATTTCTTTAAAAATTACGTGACATATTTTACTGGGCACAAATTGTTCGCATATACACCTAAGTAAGACACTTTATTATTACTATTATCTTTCATTAACTGTCAAATTTTTCTGTCCAAATGCTTTAAATTTTAAAGTTTAAAATGATACTTATAGTGTTTTTGTCAAAAAAAATTTCTTGAGCAGGGAAAAAACTCCACCCAAAACATTCGCGTGTGCACAGCGTACGCGGTATAGTCTTCCGGCCCGGGAGACATTTTGAAAATTTCATTTTGGCCCTCGCTTAAAAGTATTTGCCAACCCCTGATTTATTGAATTACACTAACATAGATAAGGCATCATTAGTAGATGTTGTTATAAATACTTAATAACTTGAGAACCTCTTCCTTTTGATACTGGAAGCAGAGTACTATATTTCTATTTTTTTTTTCACATGAAACATCGTCTAAAATCTATTTTTGAATGCCAAAATATAATTCTTCAAGTAACAAAATTCCATAAAGTTTAAGAGACCCCTAAATCACCTATTGGTTTTGAATAATATTGGGGTAATAACGGGACGCAAACTAATTGCAAACTAAAAAACTTTGCGTTCCGTTTCGCTATTTTATTCGAGCACACCTATAACGTGTAAAAATATTTGTTATAAATGTGCATACGAAGTTGAAAAAAACTTATTTATCAAATAGTCAGATACTGATAAATATGCAAATCAAGTAAGTTACATAAATCCAGCAAAAGATGCAACGGCTGTTTTTCACTATCATGAATACAAGATGTTGTCTGTTATGGCGATGCATTTTCTCCAGCTTAAGTTCCAATCAATCAAATCTCCATCTTAATCAATCGATTCCACTACAAGGGAATGGACGTCGAAAGGGACAATTTTCAAAACCCGCACATTTCCACGAAACCTACAAAGCTAGGTTATCATTTTTACTTACTACAAATACTTGAACGCCAAATAGTAATCGATTATCGCTCAGATTGGGATCACGTGATCCTTCAGAAGCAGAACTTTCTTCTGATTGGTTGATCTCTTCCCGGGGCAGAGCTGCGTCTTTTATTTAGAAAATGGACACTGAAACTATGTAAAGACATTAGGTATTATTTGGAAGAGAAGTGATGAAAAATTAGCAAAGCGGACGCCGGGAATCGAACCGCGGACCTCTGGAATACCGGCAAAGTGTACTGGCCATTACACCACGAAGGCACGCTAGAAAGGCGGGAGAAATACGTTATATACCCCTTTTAAAGGGCGACTGGGGTTTTTAGGGGACTCAATGACCAAATC